CACACACTGACACTGACCCACAGGTTAGTCAGTGCGCTCGCGCGCCTCTCTCCCGCCAGGTCCCCTCCGCTGTGCTCAAGGTCTGTGTGTGGCTGCGGGTGGACAGAGGACCGGGACGTGCGAGCACCTTTGAGCACCACCACCGACGACCACCCTCCTCCTGTGGCTCTGCGGTCCGTGCCCACCCACAGCCGTTTGTCCCCGCCTTCTCTCCTCCCATCCGCCCTCCTGCCTGAGCTTCTCGTAGGAACGTTCACTCCCCTCCCCGCCGGCCGTTCTCTCTTGTCCTTCCTACAAAAAACCAGACTCGTTTCAGTCGAGTCAGACCCGGCTTATAGAGACCCTTCCTTGGGTTGCCGAGGCAGTATCACTACGGTAGTAGGTTGCCCAACCTTCCTTCCCTGGAGTGGCTGGTGGGTTTGAACCACCAGCCTTCTAGTTAGCAGTCAAGTGCCTTAGGCTCCCATGTGCTTCCTACAGATTACAACTAAATAGCCAAGCAAGCCCTATGGGTCAGTTCTACTTTGTAACATATGGGGTCACCATGAGTGGTAATCCACTCTATGGCAACGGATTTACCACATTCTAGCTCTATGCTAAGAGCCTTGCATTTGCACCTGTGAGACAGGTCTCCTCACTACCCCAGCGTTAGACCTGGGGAAACTGAGGCTCTGAGAGATTGAGTAATTTACCAAGGTCATGCTCCTGCTGAGTGGCTGGGATTTGAAGTCAGGCAGTCAGACTCCAGAGTCTGTACTCTTAACCTTACTTGAAGCAAATAAATGGAACAGTGATGACTGCCTCTAGCAATGAATTTTCTGTAGTGGAGCTGGTACTGTGTGTTACTTCTACCTGGCATGACAAAAGTACATGGAAGTTGAATAGAAGATTCTATAGAAGAATCCTGATCAGAAGGGGGGAAATGCAAAACAATTTAAAATTTTCATGCAAGGAAAAGTGATCCAAAAGAACGTGGAAATTAGCAAACAATGTCATTAATATCACATGCAAGTAAACTCTTGCTGAAGATAATTCAAAAATAGTTGCAGCAGTATTTTAACCAGGAACTTCCAGAAATGCAGGCTAGATTTAGAAGAGGACAGGGAATGAGGGATATCATTGCTGTCAGATGGATGTTGACTGAAAGCAAAGAATACCAGAGAGATGTTTACCTGTGTTTTATTGACTATGCAAAAGCATTTGACTGTGTGGGTCATAACAAGTTATGGATAACATTGAGAAGAATGGGAACTCCAGAACACTTAATTGTACTCATGAGGAACCTGTACATAGACCATGAGGCTGTCGTTTGAACAGAACAAGGGAATACTGCATGGTTTAAAATCAGGAAGGGAGTGCATCAGGGTTGTATCCTTTCACCATACTTCTTCGATCTGTATGCTGAGCAAATAATCCGAGAAGCTGGACTACATGAAGAAAAATGTGGCATCAGGATTGGAGGAAGACTCATTAACAACCTGTGATATGCAGATGACATAACTTTGCTTGCTGAAAGTGAACTTATGAACATTAAAGACTACAATCTGCAGTATGGATTATACTTCAACATAAAGAAAATCAAAGCCCTCACAACTGGACCAATAAGCAGCATTGCAATGAATGGGGAAAAGATTGAAGTTGTCAAGTATTTCGTATTACCTGATTCCACAAACACCAGTGGAAACATCAGTCAAGACATCACACGACGTATTGTACCAGGCAAATCTGCTGCAAAAGACCTGTTTAAAGTGTTCACGAGCAAAGACGTCTCTTTGAAGACTAAGGTGCGCCTAATCCAAGCCATGGTATTTTCAGTCACTTCATATGTATGTGAAAGCTGGACAATGAATAAGGAAGACCAAAGAAGAGTTGATTCTTTTGACTTGTGGTGTTTGTGAAGAATGCCAGAAAATCTAGCAGGTCTGTCCTGGAAGAAGTGCAGCTGGAATGCTCCTTGGAAGCGAGAATGGCCAGACTTCGTCTCATCTACTTTGGTCATGTTGTCAGAAGGGACCATTCTTTGGAGAAAGATACTATGCTTGGTAAAGTGGAGGGAGGGTCAGCAAAAAAAGAAGGAAGACCCTCAACAAGATAGATTGACACAATGGCTGTGGCGATTGCCTCGGGTACAGCAAGGAGAGTGGGGCCGGCACAGGGCTGGGCAGTGTTTCTTCTGCTTACACAGGGTCGCTGTGAGTCGGAGCCGGAGCCAACTCGACAAGCACCTAACAACAACACACAATCCAGACTTCCTGGAGCCAGGGAGGTTAGATGAGCCCCTGAAACTATTGCCCTGAGATTATCTCTAAACTTTAAACCAAAACCATCCCCTGAAGTCTTCTTAAAACCAAATACTAGCTTACTGAATAAAGAATCTCTGCCTTGAGTACTGTGCCCTTTTAAGAACTATCCACATGGGATCAACTTGACAACAGCAACTTGAAAGATTAGATAGGAACCCGAGGGAGCAGTGAGCTTATGTCCATGGGGGAGGAACAACTCAGAAAAGGAGGGTGAGAACGGTTGCACACCTTGAAGGGTGCCATTAATGTCTCTGAATTGTACATGGAAACACTGTTGGACTGGTGTACATTTCACTATGTATATTCAAAGCAACAACAATAATAATAAAAAAACTACATGGAAGGTGTTATTAATCCCATGTGAAGGGTGAGGGAAGTGGCTTCAGAAAGATGAGGTAACTTGCTTGAAGTCACACAGGGAGTAGGAGTTACAGGCAGGGTGCCCTTGTCGCTCCAGTAACACACTGCCTCCTGGACCCGCCCCTCTCTTGAACCCAGCTGGTGCGGCTCATCTCATTGGCTGACGGCGTGGAGTGGGAACATAGCACCCTGCCCTTCAACCTGCACCACCCTGGTCCCCCCTCCCCCTCCCTGTCCCTGCCTGAGGGCAGGAGGTCGCTGCTCCCAAAGCACAGTGAGGACAAGAACTTCACCGATGGGAATATAAGCTTCACGGGTGGTCATGTTTGTCTCTTTTGCTGCAGGCACTGAGTCTGGCACACAGTAGGTATTCAATACAAATGCTTCACATTTTTAAAAATGGTGGCAAACTATATACAGTGAAATACATAGATCCTGAGTATACTATTGAATGCGTTTTGACAAAGGTGCACACCCATGTGACGTTTCCATCACCCCGGAAAGTCCCCTTAGACCTCTTCCAGTCACTCTCCACCTCCCAGAGGCAACCGTGACCCTGGCCTCTGGCATCTTGGGTTAATCTTCCTGTCCTTCAATGTCACATGTATGAAACTATTCAGTACGTGGTTTGCTGTTGTCATTTCTGGTTTCTTTTGCTCAGGTTGTCAATATATGGGTGTTGGATAAAGGAATGGAAGGAGTCACTGGGTGGAGCGAGCGGTTATGTGCTTGATGACTAGCTGAGAAGTTGGCGGTTTGAACCCATCCAGAGGTACCTTGGAAGACAAGCCTTGCAACTTGCTTCTGAAATGTCACAGTTTGAAAACCCTTTGGAGTTCATTTCTCCTCTGTACACATGGGGGCGCCATGAGTCAGAACTGACTGGACAGCAGCTAACTCCAACCAAAGGAATGAAAGGGCAGAACAATAGCGACTGCATTCCAGCAGGGCACATCAGGAGCAAATGTGTGATGGGGGGCATAGAAGTAGGTATTGCTCTGGTGGTGCAGTGGTTAAGACATTTGGCTGCTAACCAAAAGGTCAGTGGTTCAAAGCCACCAGTCACTGCATGGGAGAAAAATGAGGCAGTCTGTTTCCATGAAGATTTACAGCCTTGGAAACCCTATGGGGTCTCTATGAGTCAGAACTGACTTGATGACAGTGAGTTTAGTGGAGGGGTTTTCACTATTGCTTGGAGCCAGGAATTAGCCATGCTAATTAGCCATGCCAAGTAGGGGATCCAGGCGGGGACCGAGTGGAACCCAGACACCAGACCTAGATGTAGGAGGGTACTTGGTCCCAGCCTGATGGACTGCAAGTTTCTTCAAGACTTCCCTTAAACCCCAGTCTGACTGTCTCCCTTCCACTCCCTTGGGCAGACTTCTTGCAAGAAGTGGTACCTCAGAGTCCAGAAGGCTGGGAAAGAATAGCAGGCTGATGGGATGAGGCTGCTCACTCTGCCTCTTCCTTGTCCCAAAGAAGTCCCTCAAGAGAACATTCGCTGTGGAGGAGGGAGCTTGGCCACCCACCCTCACTCGCCACATGCTCGGAGCTGGCGCTGCAGCACCAGCAGCCCCCTCGGGCTCTGCGAGCCAGAGCGGGGGCCACATGAGCCCCTGTGCCCAGCACCAGCGTGGCAGAG